ATGCATCAAATTTATTCTTTAGATGGTCTCTAAATTCAGGAGGGATATAATCAAAGACATATGTTGGCTCTCATGAACTTGTTTTAATTGTCTTCAGCTTCAACTTGAACTTGCATACGAGCAGTTGATGATCTGTTCCACAGTAAGCTCCTGGCCTTGTTTTGGCCAGAGATATTGAGCTTCTCCATCTCCTCTTTCCAAAAATGTCATCTATCTGATTCCTGTGTACTTCATCTGGTGAACTCCACGTGTATAGCCATCATTTGTGTTGTTGAAAAAAGTTATTTGCAATGAGTAAGTCATTGGTCTTGCAAAATTCTATCATGAGATCTCCAGCATTATTTCTATCATCAAGGCCATATTTTCCAACTACTGGTGATTCTTCTTTGTTTCCAACTTTTGCATTCCATACACCAGTGATCATCAACACATCTTGATTGCATGTTTGGTTAATTTCAGACTGCAAAAGTTGGTAAAAATCTTCAATTTCCTCATTTTTGGCTTTGGCGGTTGGTACATAAATTTGAGTAACAGTAGTATTAACCAGTTTTCCTTGTAGGCGTATGGATATGATCCTAGCACTGACAGCATTGTCTTCAGGATAGATCTTGAAATGTTCTTTGTGATGATGAATGCCATGCCATTCCTCTTCAATATGTCATTCCTGGCATATTAGGTCATATGGTTGTTTGATTCAAAATGGCCAAAACCAGTCAATTTCAGCTCACTAATGCCTAGGACATTGATCATTATGCATTCCATTTCATTTCTGACAACTTCCAATTTTTCTAGATTCATACTTTGTACATTCTATGTTCCTATCAGTAATGGATGTTTGCAGCTGTCTCTTCCCGTTTTGAGTTGTGCCATATCAGCAAATGAAGGTCCCAAAAGCTTTACTCCATCCACATCATTAAGGTCACCTCTACTCTGAGGAGGCAGCTCTTGCTTTATCATATTTTGAGTGCCTTCCAACCTGAGGTGCTCATCTTCTGGCACTATATTGGACCATGTTTCAGGGCTATTCATAAAGTTTTCTAGTAATATATGAGACAGTGTTTCACTGTTGTTCATAAGGTTTTCACTGGCCAATTCTTTGAGAAGTGGATGGCCCTTTCATACTTCTGAGACTAAGAAT